CTACATATCCTGTTAACCAGCAGCAATAACACTGTCACTATTACTTATAAATAATAACTGGTTAATTGGGACATCACCTTCTACAGTAACACTACTAATAGTGATTGTTCCCGATCCAACTTTGTTGAGTAAAATCTGTGGACAATTTGGTGGAATAGTTAAGTTTATAGTTAATTTGCCACTAACTTCAAAATGAACACCATTTTCTTTAACTCTCATATCTTCTAATATTACTGTTGATGATTCAGGAATAGTGACAGTTGGTAATTGATTTTCTTTACATCCTTTAAAGGCATACCCTCCATAATGCTCGTTTGTAGATGTTGTATAATCACAATCAACAACAACTTGGAAATACTGTAAAAATTCTGCACAATCATCTTTATCCCATTTCCCATCAACCATTGCACATGTACAATCTTCTTGAACCTCGTTATTATCCCCACCGTTGTATCCAAATCTTTTAGCTCCATTCTTTAATGTGCACATAACTTGGTTTGGATAATTTGGTCTCATAATTACATCTGAATCTGTTGTTGTCAAGACATGACCTATATGGTTTGATTGATAACTTGAAACAATAAACAATTTAATCTTCCCTGAAACACGTGCTTTGTTGTAGTCCCAATAATCAAACCCAAGTGTGATATAGTTAGAATTTTTATTGACAAAAGTTCCTTCTCCATGAGGAGCAAAAATAAATGGTTTAGAATCAGATATCTCAAATTCAGGATAAAAATAAAAGCTCAATGAATTCTTTAAAGCATCATTATTATACAATGCCCATTGACAATTACTAGATTTAAGATAGAAATTCACTGTTGTTGTAATGATCTCTTTATTATCGTATATAAGTAAAAGCCTTTCATTTGATGAATCATAAATATTGAGTGTTGGTGTTTTTGATCCTGATTTCAATACAATTCGTATCCAACTAAATCCTTTATAATCTTCAATACCATTTTGTTCAAGAGCTATATCTCCACTACCTTGACTTGGTGTTAAACATGAATCTTTATTATTTATTGTGACTACACCATCTTTATAACATTGGGCAAGAGTTAAGTGTATGCATAGTACTAAGACAAACATTACCGAATTCACTAGTTTCAAGTTTTTGTCGAAAGTTCCTAATCAAAAAAAAATAATTTTTTGTTATTTTATTTTTTCAAAATTTTTAAAAACAAACAACTCAAACAGAAAATATCATATCATTGTTTCTCCTCCTTATTGTTTTATTATAAATTCACAACTAACACAATAAACGAGTTTTATGTTACACAGCTCTTTAGAATAATAATTCATTCAAATATAAAAAGAATAAAAGTTGAAATAGAGTTTTATATATTTTAATTAAAGAATTAGAGTTATAAGATTATTTATTAATACAAAGAATAACAAGAGTGAAAACAACGATAATAAAGTTAACACCACAAAGTAAATTGAAGAGTGTTCATATAGTTAAAAAGAATCAATGAAAATATAAAAAAGAAGATAAGTAAAATATCAATTAATTAGTCATCAAATAAATTATGTGCCAAATCATCTTTCTTCATCGAGATAATATTTCTTAATGGATTAAATTTATCAGGTTCAAATTGACAAGTTTTACTTACATCTTTAATGAAAGACTCTAAAGAAAAGATAAGTTTTTTGATATTTTCTTTAGTGAGAGTTTTCTTTGCTAGTCTATATTTTTCGTTTTGATTTTCTTCTTTTTCACCACCAATATCGCAATTAGCAAACGAAAACAGTTCTCCTTCATCCTCTTTTTGTTTAGAATGTTCTGATTCAAATATTCTGTTATTTAAAACTTTTATTAGAAAAGTTTGGATTTGTGACCAAGCAAGTTCTAAACAACTGTTAACAAAACCTTTATTTTCGTCAACTTTTGTTAGTTCAACTGATTCTGCTTTTTCCACTCTTTCCTTTAATTCTTGTTCTGCTTTAGATTGAATAGCTTTTAACTTTCTTCCCCATCCTGATCTTTTTATTGCAGCATTTGATTCTTTTAATTTAGATACAGCTGATGTAGCAAATGAAATATTAATTCATCAAGAGAAA